TGTATAGAGAAGTACAAGCGATTGAGTATAGGAGTAAAAAATTTTATAAAAAAAATATCACAAAAAACGGCAAAATGCTCTCAAAAATTGTAAAAATATAGGAATTATAAGTTATTATACGCTAAGATCATTGTATGCCCCCTAATAAAAAATAAAAAAGAAAAAATTTACTACCAGATCCATGTATAATGGCATATGCTTACATTAGCTTGTGCTTTGAAGTTCTGTTGTCCATGGAATTATATACTGGAATAATGGACCAAGGACTAGAAAGAGAGAGAGAGGGAGGGACAATAATTATTGATTCCAATACATTAATAAAATGTACAATTGATTTTTGTTTCCTGTCACATGATAAAAGATAGACCCCACCCATTCCATCCTAGCAGCTGTAATGCACTCACTGGTACAAAAACCAGCATCACCTGGAACAACATACAAACAAACATCATTAATAAAATAATATAATAATATCATTTTACCTATTATACTGTATTAAAATAATAATATACACACATTAACTGACTGACTGTGTTTATTATTAGGAGAAGAGACTGGAAAGGTGGAGTGGGGCAGTAGTTATGTAACCCTCACTAAACCATCAGCAGGTCAATGTCAGGAAGTGATCAGTCAATTAACGGACAGTCATCAAACCATTTCCCTCCATCACTCATCACCTGATATTGTATACTTGATGATGTCTGTCACACAAAATGATAAACAATACTTCATTAGAGGCACTATCGATCAGTCCTGATTCCATCAATGATGATGGAGTCATTGCACTAACACAATCATTAATTAATAATAAAACAATTACTGGCTTATTTCTTTATAACAATCCTGACATCACTTCAACCAGTGCTCAGTCACTAGCTGAACTTTTACTCCACAACCACACACTATCTCTCCTTTGGCTCCAATATACTAACATTGATACTGATGGAGTACTGGTACTGATGGAATCTCTCAGGACCAATAAAACACTAAGGAGACTATATCTAGACAAGAAACATAAACAAACTTGTTCTTCTTTACCTTATTATAAAACTATTGAAAACAGATTACACTTTGTGTAATTATTTCATATACATATTAAGTTTATTAATAAACAATTTATACTATTAAAAGGACAAAATAATTAAAAAATATATGAGCCTCCAAATTGACCACACCCCTCATGGCAAGAACACGTACATTATTCACATGAGGGAAAGAGAGAGAGAGGGAGAGACAGAGAAATGAAAGATGAAAAATAGGGTAAAAGAGACATATTCCATTTGTCTCAGCAAGTTAGTAACCACAATTGCATGCAAAGCTAGATTTATGCAGTTAAGGTAACAGTCAAAATTGCATGGGCAATCTGACTTTTCCATACAAAAAAGCTTTGAATTTGACACAAAATTTGCCAAAATTTACCTTTACTTTGCATTTTGTAAGCCTGTTTCTAGGGTTTCCACATAAAGCATGAGTAAATTTTAAAATTCATAAGAAAGCCAATTTTGATTAGAATCACCTCAAACTTTCTACACAACACAAGTACATGTACATGTATATGTACCAATTATAAAAAATAAAGACTTTTTTGCTTTTCATTTTTGGCAAAATTTGGCCAATGATTATGACCCTGTAGTACAGGGACTTTGGCCTGATTTTTTTGAGCAATTTTAAAAATTCTTAAAAAAATCTAATTCAGATTATATCAGCTCAAACTTTCTACACAACATAAGAACATAGTATTAAAAAATGATTAAAACAAAAATTGTCTCCTTCCCATTATTGACAAAATTTGTTATTTAAATACATATCATTAATTACCTGAATCCATCTATATCAGTATGACTATCACGTAAAGGAGTGTATCCATAAGGTGCTCCATCCAATGGCTCCTCCAACAATTCCTTCATATCAGTACGAACCACCTATTAATAACCATTAATAACTATTAATAACCATTAATAACTATTTATAACTATCAATAACTTTTATAACTATTTATAACTACATGTAATTATAACAATTAAACACTTATAATTATTTATAATTAATTATAATTATTATTAATTTTATAACTAAATTGTATACCTGGTCGCCATCGACAAAAATTATTTTCTTAATATTTAACGGAAAAAGTACATCTAGAAATAATACCTTGTACCTGAAATAATAATAATAATAATAATAAATATTATTAAAATTAATAATTACTCATGCACAGATTAATCTTTGTTTTTCAGTTAGTCCATGAAGCCAGCGTGGCCACTCTACCTAACAATAACTAAACAAACAAACAACTAACAAATTTAAATGTATTCACTAACTAAAGTACATGTACATGTACCTTAAAATTATTTATCCTCTACTAAAAATACTAAAAATGTACATACAATAATTATACATTTGTACATATACAATGTACATGTACATGTACATGTAATTAAAATGACATTATCCATGACACCTGTCAGTAACTTTGATACAATTACATTAATTAATATGAGGAGTAATGTAATGGGTACTATACATGTTAATACCAGTGTTGTGATGGTTAGTATTGTGAATGAGATTAGGTTACTTACTGGTTTAGTGTTCTTTAGACTGGCATTTCTTTTAACAGTTGCTATTTGAACTAATGGGAAGAGAAATTAAGATAATAATGTATACCCATACATGTACATGTATCATAGTCGTCTACATGATCGAGGGCCGTAAATATTGCAAATTTGCCTAAAAATCAACTTTGTGGATTTAATTTTCACGAATTTATGCCGTCTACCGGTATCTTGTACTGTAATAATTTGATTTTGTGAAGTAATTCTCACG